CGGATTGCTGTTTGTGCAGCTGTCACTGCTGTTTTTGACCGAGACCCAGAAGCGGATCAGAGAGAGCTTGTCTCCTAATGTGTCATAATACAATGGTGGACGGTCAGTGCCAGCAAAACCCTCCCTGCTGGCCTCAGCACTATCTGCAGCAGTGACCTGTCAATCACACACAATCCAAATTCTAATTATTATTCCTAATAGTCTGTTGTCTTCATTTCTGAGCATTTCTTTTGACTGAACTGCTCGGTGTGTTTTCATGACTAAACATTATGTGACAACTGTGAGTTGGAGCGCAATGGTGGCTACAATGTTGTAGTCGTCATTTCTATAATTTGAGCCTTCTAGCTTTTCGGCAAGCTCTCACATGGTTCCGCCTTCTGAGTTGCTTCAAAATTTAGCAGCTTTGACGTTGCACCATTCTAAACACCGCTTCTGTTTCATTTGAAAGCAGAGAAGAAAGTGACCACTTTGCTGAAGGAGTTCTTCAATCTCGGTCTTCCTTTCTTTCCTCTAGAACACTCCATAAAATTTGACTTTGTGCCTCAGTGGATCCAACCTTAAACCATGACTACCTTGTTGATGCTCCACTTCTCTTCACATCAGCATCGCTCCTAATAGGTTAGCATTTCCACAGTTATTCCACACTTGATTGTACAGTTTTGCCTTCTGTGTGTGGTGTTTTCTGGCATAGAGGTCTGATGCAAAGATGTAAGCCAGACTTAACATAGGGGTGTTCACACGGCACACATTGGCATTGGTGCTGCACCGATGTATTTTGTTGCGATATAACTTACACCGGTGTAAATTTTGGGGAGTGTTCACACGTATAAAGCTGCCGACTAAAGAGAAGCGTGTTAACCCCGGAACAGCCCCACTTGCGTTCACACGGCAGTTTCTGCGGCCGTGCAATACGATAATAATACAAATAATACGGGAATAAAACATGCGCATGTGTAAAGTGTACTTCCTTTTCCCCGCCTTGTTTGTGACATATCAAAAAAACATGGTTTATACTTCTCTGGACAAATCAACGCCGTGGTCTATCAGACACCGTAAAAGGATGAGAGAGAGACAGGAAAGATGACGGAAGTCCAACAAAGCACGAAAGCAACGCATTCTACCCGTATGTTATCAACTCTTCTCACGTGTGGCGAGTCTACTCCCGTAGCATTCACACGTCCCATTTTATATCGGTGCTGCTCCGCAAACTAGCATTTACTCCGGAGTAAATTTTTAAACCACTTCCTGAGCAGGGTTAAATTTGCTCTGGTTTAAACGGTTTTCAGGGGCTACACCGGTATAACTTTGTACGTATGAACGCTCTACGGGGGGCAGCCCCGGTGCTACACCGGAGTAAAAGTTGCCGTGTGAACACCCCTCATGTTGTAAATAATCTGTCAAGGAGGAAACTCTCTCAATTTGGGGAAGATGAATGTAAAATATAAAATAGAGTCACGTAAACATATCAACCAGTGCTCAATTAATTATCTTGTGAATGTAGTCAGGACGTGAGAGGCAACAAACCGCGCGGAAGAGCAGACGGAGCATACGAACTCCACACTCAAACGGAAAGGTGTTAACTTAAAAAAATACGGTAACTTACGTGCGTCGAAAAGCTGCTCTTATGTCAAAACCTTCAGCAGTGAAAGCCTCTGGTGTGTAGATAAGGAAAGTACAAAAAAAAAGCATTTGGAATGAAAATTGATGTGATTAATTCAAAGAAGTCATTAAAAGCATGAAATAATCGAAACACAATTCCCATACACTTACCATGTACAGTCAGTTGAAAATTACAGCTGTCAAACTTGTCTCTGGACAAAACTTCACACCTGTAAGCTCCTGCAAAGTTAGCCTTGGCTTCCATGATGTGCATCTCAAACGTGTAGACCTGTTTGAAGGTTGATTCATAAGTTTGATTAGCGGTACGCTTCGCTTCTTTCCTGGTCCTTCATGGACAAAGCAGCGTAGGCCTAAAAACATTCACGATGAGCAAATCCTGCTGCTTTCTTTTCATGATTTTCTTGACTTCTGAAAATCTGAATTAAATGTGCCAAATATAGAATACAGATATAGTCAATGACTTGAACGTATTAAAAAGAAAAAAAAAACAGGCAACAACATGAGTTAGTCTACTTTGGTGGTGCGGTCATAGAACTCCTTCAGCTGCAGGTGTTTTCCAGATTTGCTGGCAAGGTCCATCCACTTCCCTTTAAACCATTTGATGGTCGGTTTCTTCAACAGTGATTCAGCATTGACTTTTGCCACGAATGTGATGTTTCCACCTAAACAGGAGAATGGAATAACGTATATGTCTTTATACACGTAAGCTTCCATTTTGTATTTTAAGTCACATTTCTTGGCGTATTGAGAATCCCCATTTTGGATCACACAAACTCTATCCACCAAACCGTAATCCCACATATTGTGTTACTTCTTCCAAAGTGTTTTCAAGGGTCAATTCTTCATGTGCAGTATTCTCACAGTATTTTAGTTTGGAATTTGGATGAGATCTTTATCACAGACATTGTGTATTTACAAACTCTCGCAGTTATGGGTTCTGCGGGGACCACACTAGTGCTCATTCTTCAACAGAACCGTGAGTGTTTCAACATTGACTTGCAAGATGCTCACCTACAGTGACCTCTGCACTTTGGGGCTTCTCTGTGAAGAGGCCAGTGAGGTCCTGTCTGGTGTCTGGAGGCTGTCCATCTACAGTACATAATCCAGTGTTACACAAAAGTAAGATTGACGGAATATCATTCAACCTAATGCACTCGACATCTAAAATTAGCCGCACAAGAGAGACACAAGAGAGAAAAATATACTACAATATAAATATGATTTACCATGCTGTACCACCAAGCACACATTTCCACAAAAATCTTGAGCAGAGATGGGCCCCTGTGGCCCACCTTCTTGACTAATAATAATAATAATTATAATAACAATAATAACAATAAAATGTATCGTTCTTAACAAATGCCCACCTTTTCTCAGAAAAATGGAATGGGATGGAGGAGGAGAAAAGGAGGAAAAACAACGTGTGTGTCGGTGTGTGTGTGTGTGTGTGTGTGTGTCTGTTTACATATATATATATATATATATATATATATATATATATGTTGTTTGCCTTAGCAAAGACAGACAAGATTATTGAAAGCAGGAAAGGCGGAAAAAGCAGGAATCAGGACGTGAGATGAAAGAGCAACAAGCAAGCTCGAAGTGCGAGTCGAAAGGATTTCATAGAGCCATATGTGATACAGAAAGTCGAGGCATCATATCGAACTCGATATGGATATGAAATTTGAAACATTTTGGTCACGGTGCATCGTGTAAGACTCATCTTACCGGTACATGACATTTATTCCGGAAAGTAATAATTAGAAAGTGGAAAGAGCCGCGAGGCAAACAGAAGCCGAATTAACAACTTCAAAAGTATTTCTGCGCAAACAGCGTGTTGTGAGCCAAAGTCATGGCACGAGCCTCTAAGCTCCGAGCCACAACGTAATAGACCAATTTGCTGCCCTTCAAAACTAGCGGCATTGTTTCATGCATCCACCCATCAAGTGGCGTCGCTGGCAATGGCAGCTGTTCATTCGATTTTGACGACCTTATTAACTCCTCAAAGGCAAAGTTTTCTCTGGAACTTTTTTTTTTGTTAATTGTAAATGATGGGCTTGGCTCAGTTTGTCACAACACAATGACCTTTGTTTGCATACAGTTTTGCATGCACCAAACTACTGTACAGATGCTTCATGCGTTTGTGTAAAGTATTTAAAAAAAACTGACTGAAATAACACTACGAATCCAATGTTAACTTTTTCACAGCACGCTCAGTCTTTGTTAGCTGCTTACGACACTCTGGCTTAGCTTGTTGCACTTGCTCACATACTGTGCAACCCCCCGAAGCAATGATGAAAAATTGTGGCCCCCCTCAAGCATTAAAGTTGACCATCCCTGCTCTAGAAGGAGTTTAACTAAATGCAGAAAGGACTGTCTCACCTTCTGATGGCGGGACATCATGTGTTGGGGCCGTGGCCTCATCTTCTCTGGGTGCAGCCGCAGGTGGAGCATTCTGCTGCTCTTGTGTTACACTTGATTCTTCGGATGCGGTAGCAGAAGTTTCTGTGTTTGTGTTACCATAGAGAAACAATGCACATGTTAGGCTTACTGCAGACTTACTGGCCAAGGTGCTCGTTTTAGTGTCCTTCTCGCAAAATTATAGTAGCAACATAACATCAACAACATCTGCAACTACTGTAAAACAATAAGCATTCATATACATATGTACATCTCTCTTTCTATCTATTTATCGATCGGTCGATCTGTCTATCTGCCTGTCTATATTAACACAGTCGGGTCCATAAATATTTGGACATTGATGTAATTTTCTGCATTGTATCTCTGTGCGATACGACAATGGATTGGATTTGAAATGAGACAGCCAAGATGTTCCTCCAAAGTGGAATTGGACAAACTAATTGAAATCATGAATCAGATGGTCACTTTTTAATACTTTGTTGCAAATGCTTTGCAATCAAGGGCAGCCTGAAGTCTCGAACCGATGGCCATCAACAGATGCTGACTTTCGTTTCTGGTGATACTCTGCCGGGTCTCTGCTGCAGCTGTCTTCAGTTCCTGCTTGTTTTTTGGGCATTTTCCTCTCAGTTTTACTTTCAGCAAGTGAAATGCAGCGGCCCGGTGGTCGACTGGTTAGTGCGTCCACCTCACAGTGTTCGATTCTGGCTCCGGCCTCCCTGTGTGGAGTTTGCACGTTCTCCCCATGCCTGTGTCGGTTTTCTCCAGGCACTCCGGTTTCCTCCCACATTCCAAAAACATGCTTGGCAGGTCAATGCAACACTCTAAATTGTCCCTTTGTGTGACTGTGAGCGTGGATGGTTGTTTGTCTATGAGTGCCCTGCAATTGGCTGACAAGCAGTTCAGGGTGTCCCCCGCCTACTGCCCGAAGACAGCTGGGACAGGCTCCAGCACTCCCCGCAACCCTTGTGAGGATAAAGCAGAGCGGAAAATGGATGGATGGAAGTGAAATGCATCTTGAATCGGATTCAGGTCAGGTGATTGACTTCGCAATTGCAGAACCTTCCACTCTGTTGCCTTTAAAAACTCTTTGTGGTCATTGTCCGTCTGCGAGTTTTGAAGCATTTGGCTGAATATGACAGGTCATATTGCCCGAAACACTACAGAACTGATCCTGCTGCTTTTATCAGCAGTCGCATTCATCAATAAACAGAAAAGATCGAGTTCCACTGGCAGCCATAGATGCCTACGTCAAAACACTACTGCCACCATGCTTCACTGATGAGGTGCGGTATGCTTTGGATCTTGAGGTGAAACCTCCGTATTTCCTCTCTTCGTCTGTTCATTTTTGATTTGGAAACAGATACGTCGCCATGTCGTAAGCATGTCAAATAACTGAGCTGCGAGAGCACTGGTGGATCTCGTCTTTTATTCAGATCTCTGACTAGTACGATCTAAATGCAAAGCATATGGAAGCAAACAGAAACCACTGGAGCTTTTGGACTTCACAGCCCTAGTATGAGTTTGATGTCAACCAAATTCAAACAAATGACTCGCTTCAGGACCAAAAATAGTTCGGCAACAGCGGACAAGCTTCACAAATTCAAAGTGCATTACTCTGTATTACAGAAAATTATTTGTGGGAGAAGATCAAGGATTAGAAAATATGCTACAGTAAATAATGATGTGACCCAAAATTTTTGCCACACAGAAACAATTTAAAGGCAATACTGTTCTGGACAATAAAAATCTTAAAATGGCACTTTAACTTTTGGTCTGTTGAATTCTGGCCAGGTACTTTCTGTTTTTCCAAGTCTTTTTTGTTGAAATGCAATTAAATACATTTTTCCTCCAGGGTTAAGAAAAAAGTCTGTCTATTGTTTGATTCAGTTGTCCACTCAAATCCGTTTGAATTAAAATTGGTGTTTTTAAATTAAAAAAATGTTAAATGGTGGTTAATCAAGTTTAATTCATCACAAAGCTTGTAATGAATTACATTAATATACTAAGTCCCACCCTTAATTCATATAAAGTGTGTGTGTGTGTGTGTGTGTGTGTGTGTGTATATATATATATATATATATATATATATATGTGTGTATACAATGAATCTTCTTCGATTGTATCACCAGAAAGCGTTCATATGGCAGTTGTACAAAAAGGCAGTTGTTTATAAGGACTTGGATGGCAGTGACATTTGATTCTCGAAAAAAGGAATTTCGTGATGTCATTCTCATTTCGAGATTCCAAAACGTCGTGGCAACATAAACCATGAAAGTCAATACCCACTCCAACCCTGAAAATATTCTTCATGAGGTATTTTCACTTCAAGCCTCAAATGTTATCGTCCTTGGTTGACTGACTGTTTTTCCATGTGCTATCAGCCGCCTCTCAGGCCTATCCTGAGAGTCAGTGAAGTGCTGCTTACTCATGATGAAATCATGTGCCAGTGGAAGGTCAAGGTGACTAAACTGACACAGGCAGGAGGGTTGCAACATGTGCAACACACAACTGTGAATATCTTTGAGCGTCGTTTCCACCTTATCTGATGCAAGCAACAGACAAGCATTGCTCATGGATTTATTTCAAGGCGGGTATTATAATTCCTGTATTTTTCACATGCCAAAACACGCTGCGTTCAAAACAAAATCATGTTTTAGATAATAATAGTAGATATCGTTCCTGCTGACTGCTCTCAGGCTATTGAATAGAACGCGTCCTGAAAACCTGGACTCACCCCCACTCACCCAGTTTTAATATGCTTATGTTTATATTTTATGTTCTATATTTATATGTATATTTATTTATATACTTTTTGTCTTCTACTTTCCCCCTTTCATCATTTTGCTGCTGCAAATTGGGAATTTCTTCACTGTGAGACAAACAAAGGTTCTCTTATCTTATCTTAAAATAAATCCATGTTGGAATCAGTTAGCCAGAAGCTGCTAAAGCTCCTTTGCGGGCTTCTGGAAAATGACCAATTGGAAGAAAAGACCTTCTTAGGGAGGTGCAGCTTCAAGACAAGAGACAATTGTTTCAATTCAAAGGGGGACAGTGGGACAACAGGGTTCGAGTTCGAATGAGTAAAATGTTATTCAAAACAGTAAATAATAACCTCTTTGGCGGGAAAATATCAGAGTAAGCTTTCATTTGACTTTCAGGGTGATTGTTACTGCTTCATATGATACACAGATGAAGGCCGTAAATATCTTTTGTCGTGATCAGGGTTGATATTGATATGTCCAGACATAAATACTGTGCATGCAGTGTAAGGTCTGTACAGCCCGCTGAGTGCTCAGGCCGCGCAACCTGTCAGTCAACAGGTAGAGAGACCACAGCCAAAGTTTCCCACCTTTCTTTGACAAGACTTTCAGCTCAAACTTGACCTTTGAACTCCCCGCAATCACAGCATAGGTATTGGCGTCTTCCGGGGTAAGCGCTTTGATGGTGAGGGAATGCTTGCTTCCGTTGGCTGAGATCTCGTATTTGCTGCTGCCGACAAGATCTTTTGTGTTGCACTGCCATTTAACTTTAGCATTAGACTTCTCGGTTTCTGCTTCAAAGATCACCGAGGAGCCCTCCTCTGCTTCCTGTGTCTTTGGCTTCTTGGTAAAGGCTGAAACTGAAACGACAAACTGACATTAGGATCTTTTAATTGTAGTCTTCAAGAGATCGACCTCTCTTGTTGTAAAAAAAAAAAAAAAAAAAAAAAGACAAACGGTATTTTCTCAGATAAGCACCTTATAATTGTTTGCCTGTATAAAACCCATTAGATAAAATAATTGTTCATGCTAGGGTGCCGTAGTCGCTAATTTGTGGGGCGGGGGAGTTTGGCAGCACTGTTGTTGTTTTCGTTGTTAGCCAACAACAACATTTTAGGTTTTGTGAAGCAGGTGAATGGGCTCTGTTCTTTTCCACAGTCTGCGTTCGCACGTTCACTTGTGGCAGACCCATTGAGTTTAAATATAGGATGCATATGTTGTGGACTAATGTGTTGCAGGTTGAAGTTGCACGACAGGCACAGGAATCACAGCAGTGGGATTATCTTGAATCTATTTTTGCACCTTTAGACTCATTGAAATACTTGTGGACCCTTGTGTTTCTGAAGCCGGGGGAAGGTTGTTTCAATCTGGGAGGACTCCTTAATAACCTCAACTATCTGATTTAAAATTCCAACTCAAGAGCAGTCTAATCACATCTTTAACAGCATCATTTTTTGACAGCCATTGTGGAAATGCAATACTGTACATACTGCATGAAAAGTTGATGATTAAAAATAATGAAAGAGAAATACAGTAGTGCACTGAGAAATGACTGGCTCGGTTTTTGATTGACTTCTTTGTTTGACTGATTTTAGAGTTTTTTTTTTTTGTTTTGACTTGTGAGCGCAGACTTGAGCTCCAAACATTGAATGCTGGCAGTGACTCAACTCATTTTACAACAGCAATTCTTTAAAAATGAGCCCCCATCCTGTTTATTGTCACTCCCAATTATAGTTTGCTGTCAAACTAAACACCAAACAAAGAGAATTACGCTTTGTATAGTTGAAACAACCTTCTTTCAGTCCACTTGTTTAATACTAATGCTAAATAGCATTTATGTTGCAGTGCTAAGCATCATAACACAAATGGTACAACAACACATGTAGACACAATCTAACAGAGCCATATATTCTTTATCTTCTGCAAAGAGCACTAATAGTAGTGCTGTGCTGATGAGCTGAGAGGAGTTGGGACATTGCAATGAACAGTATCTCCACGTGTTTTTCTTTTACTGCCGCTGGAGTCAGAGATGAGCACATCAGAAATAGCAGCACAATGGCCATTCAATCGATGCTGTGCTAATAGAAGAAAAATGTTCAATATTGATTTAATCTATTCAAGTATGTAATTACTGGATATTTTCATCAAATACAGCATTATCGAGTGCTCATTAAAGTACGCAAACATTTTTTTGTTCCATGATGGGGGGGGGGGGGTTGTGTTACAGATGAAGGGCGTTTCCATTCATTGCAATGAGAAAAGATGATTTGAGCATGATCAAGTGAATTCGATTCATATTTCAAGGCACTACTGTATATTGAGCTTCTACTTTTATGATAGTAAATTTAGTGGTAACATATCTAAATTAGAGAAATGTTTAAAAAAAAGAAATAAAAATGAAAAGCCTTGGAATGTAGGCCTACTCAGTTTCTGTGTTGGGGTAACATTTTTCACTTTTTTTCTGCCAGACAAGTAAAGAAAAAAAAAAAACCCAATGCCTTTAAAGTATAAAATAAAATGCAAATGTTACAACATTTTGTGGTAAACGCTTATCTGTTATTGCAGTTTGACTGTGGTTGATATTACTTAAGACAGCTGTGAGGCAGCACTCAGTCAGGCTATTTGTTCTTGTGACTCAAAAGGTTGCGTTTAGTCAGACAGGAAAGTTCAGGAGTAACAGTTGTATGGTCTTAAGTGGGCTCCACCCTATCTAAAAAAATTTTTTTTTAATTATTAAGAGGATATAAGCCACACACTCACTTGTTTTTTTGACTGGCTCTGGCATCTTCCTAAAGGATGTCCTCTCCTCCACGAGGTGAATTACTCTGCTGTCTGTCTTGCTCTTTTGCCTTTAATAGAAGTGCCCCCACCATGCAGCACCACCCCTCTCTCCAGACACCTTAATATGATGGCCAAAGAACAACAGCTGCCCCCCACACGTCCCATCAAAGCTCATCCTGTCCCAGGATCACTACAGCACATATGCAACACACATGCACACGCGCACGCACACAGAGGCTATATTTCAACCATCATTTCCTCCAACACCTCGGCAGAATGACAGGCCTTGAGGGGTGGGGGTCATGGATGTTGGGCACCAGTTAAATTTAGAACTTAAATTTAAAAAAAAAAAAAAAAAGGATGACGCTGTCTCTATGCTGTAGCTACATAGAAATGTGAATACACAGAAAACTAATTAGCGCCGGTAGCACCCATTGTTCATTTATTTGGAGTTTGGCTCAGCACTGTTTAAATATTAACGGAAAGTGTGTTAAAATATAGAATTGACATTTCGTTTGGACAAGAAAGAACAACTGAATCTCTTTGACCTATTTAAAAAAAGTAGTTCATTTCTTTTTCCATTTAAAAATGCTGGGACATTGATCTGGCAGCTCTTCAGCTCTTTACCACTGTAGTGCAAATCTATCCGATTACAATAAATTTGACAATAAAACTTTAGAGTCAGCCTCATAGCTGAAAAGGGAAATAATTGTTCCTTTTTTTATGTGGAAAATAAAACCCACGTTGTAAGCACTCATCAAACAATAGTTGACCCCGCATGGCACACACTCTCTGATCACAGAATTAATACACCCGCAATCCCTGTTTTGCTCTAATTTTGACAACCCACGGACAACCCTGGAGAACCCACGGGGTTAAATTTGGCCCCTATAAATTCTGCTACTCAAATGCTACCCTTAAATCCCAAAGGGTCAGATTTGGCCCTAATCCTAAATTAGGATTAAAGCATTGAATATTTGAAAAACCATATATTTTGGTGTTCAGTGAACATATAGCAGTCATTTAATGTATAATTCATCATTTTCCAAAGAGGAAAAACGTTCTTGGGTTCTCCAGGGTTAAACATTGTTGGCCCTTACACCAATAACTTGGCCAGTTGTTGATTTATTTATTTATGTATATGACTGTCATGCAAAATTCAGTTTTGTGATTGGTTCACTTCCATCTTCACCATAGAGGGGAGCTGTGTGCCCTTGGCAAGGGTTGCACAGCAGTGCAGGATATTGGATATTTCTAGAAAGCCCTTTACATTGTTTTGCATGATTTGGTTCATCTTTTTTTCACAGGGTTTGTTTGAGGAACTCGGGTTACATACGACCAATGCATCATCCAAGAAAACATGGTTACACTCCCATTGACATGGATGACACTGTTCACCCACCTATCGTGTCATATGACATCACGGCTCCACTTGGTTGTGAAAAACTGTTGGTGGAGGATGCCAAACAGACATCGCGGATCGTGTTTCTTGTTCTTTTTGATTAAAACGAGTACAACAAACATCGTGCAACACAACGAGCCACGTGGTGATTGCCTCTGCCTCACAGTCCTTTTCTGCCTTTGAATCTTGTTTCAAGTCTGATCGTGTGGCATTTGCATATTTTCGCCACGCCTGAGTATTCGGTCTCCCTTCCACATTCCAAAAACATGCATGATAGGTTCATTAGGTTCATAAATTATAGGCGTGAATTCGAGTGGTTGGTTGTTTGTACGTGCCGTGCGGTTAACTGGCAACCAGTTCAGGGTGTTCCCCGCTTGTCACCCAGAATCTACTGGTTTCGGCTTCAGCTCCTACGTGACCCTAACGAGGAGAAGTTGGAAATGAAATGGATGAATGGACAACGAACACAACAGAGTTTCAGTTATGTCTCATAGAATGGTGTCTGCAATTTTCAAACGTGTTTTGTTTTCGACATTGTGGGCTGGCAGCATGCGCCTAACTTCTGACGCCATGAGACAGCAAGGAGTTGACAGTTGTTTCATGGGGATATTTTTTTTATATGTCACATTGGTATTATGTAATGAAACAATATGGTACTGCTAGACCCTCCCACGAAATTTCCGTTTTCGGTGTCATTTTATGAAGAATAATTCAAGCCAAGCTGCCCAACATGAAATGTGCGGGTCAAAGTTGTCTGAAACATGGCCCGGGGGTCCATTTGCATCTCGAGGACCCATTTTTAGCGGGTCCACGACATTCACTCAAAACCACAACTGGCCTCTTTCATTTTCCTGCATTGTACTGCTTATTTTACAGTAAGCATACGGACTGCTGCCCCAAGCCAGCTGGGATAGGCTCCAGCACGCGGCTTGCATGAGGATAAGGAGTTTGGAGAATGGATAGATGGATAGATGAAAGGTCGACAAAGAAGACAAATAAAACAAAGCTTAAGATTCCGCTAGCAAATGAAGGTTAATACATTTGGCCTCTGTTTCTCCTCCATATTTTTTGTGTTTGATGCAGCTGATAGTAGCTGTGACTGCATGTGTGGATGCCATTCTATTCAAATTCATGATGTCTTCCACTTGGTTGGTTGGCTGTTAGCCAGATGCAAACACCTAAAGAGGTCAAATCTTTAATTGCACCAAGACCACATTTCGGTGGCCTTCAAGCATAACTATAAAAAAAAAAAAAAAATACTGATTTATTTATTTACCGGTGTTAATCTGTGCTCAGTTTTAGTGTGAGGTGAACAAACGTCATTTTGAGCGATGGTCACCAGAGGCCACAATTGACACACTGCGTATCGGACTTTACGCGGCTTAAAAAGATCACATTTAAATGAAGAAAAGTAGGGCTTCATTCATGCACTGTTCTTCAAAACAATTATGTTCACATGTCCCACGTGTGTACCTTGCAAAAAGCATGTGACATTCACACAGCGTTGTCTCATGATTGAAAAAAAATGTTTATTGCATTTTTGGTGATTCAACAGTTGTATTGCGTTGTACAAAAAAACCCCAAAAACAAATCCCACATTGAACAAATGTATCGGTGAATCAGGTCCGGAATTTCAAGTCTTTAAATAACAGGTTACACAGTTCATATTAAAGGCATGGCCTTGTTTCCTCATGGATACTTTGCTGGACACACACATTACCAGCTCCGCCTTTCCCATGTCCCTGAATAGGCAAAGCAGTCGACATGGACGGCAGTCACTGGCTAGACGTATCTTTATACTGTATTTCTATGATGTGGCAAATAAATGAGCTGTGTGATAACAGCGTAACCCAGTTTATGCTCCCTCCGGATAGCTGTCACGCTTCTATGCTATTTACAAGGAATGGTGACATTGAGTGTTACACCAGAAATCAAATGTACCACTTGCGTTGCATAATTCAGTCTTCTGTCTACATGTACGGCTTTCTCTCCAAATGCGTCTTCCCGAGGACCTCGTCACTGAACTGATAGGTCAGTTTCTTCTTGATCTTTTTGACCTCTCCAGTTTTACCATAGTTGCGCAAAGCCCGCGCCATCTTTTGATAGGTCATTTTTTTGCGGTTGCCTTTTTGGATTCCCCAGCGGTGTGCAAGAGCCTCCTTGTGTTTGGATGAAAACTGGAACATTCCTTTGTCTCTGTCCACCCACCAGATACTGTCCTTCATATCACCGTTCCGTAAAAGGTCCAACAGGAACTGATACAAACGAATCTTCTTTTTGTTGCCTTTGGGAAACATCGACAAAAGTTGCACAATTACTACTTCCGTATGACGCAAGACTTGAGTTTGATCTCACTCGATCGATCCAAGACAGCGTTCACGACATTTATATGCAGGAACAACATAATAGCTGAAGAGAATGTGTCGAGGCAAAGGAAATGCTTCGCATGTGCGATTGAGTCACGCAATGTCAATTTAAAAACATTTGGGAGTGGAGTGTAAAGTATCTACATCACAATTTCAAGGAGTATCGACGGTTTTGCCGACATTAGATTGCAATGCATCCTGATTTATTGTGTGACTTCTGAAATAGATTACGTACCAGAGTAACTTGTCGGCATTGAATTTAAATTTAAGAAAATGTTCCAACATCGTGTCGCTACAAAAATTCACGTATGGTGTAGTTGAAACGTTTCCAATAGCTTGACGTGCGTTGGCTCAATTAATGAGGTCTCAGTTGGTAGGCTTGTCACCCAACCAACAAGTCTTAAAACATGCCAAATTATTTTCAGTTATAAGAGCATCAAGTCAGTTAATTGCAGTGACCTTTTCTCCAAAATGTTTTTAATAGGTCTTGGGTGTTTTGACCTTTACTTTCAAGTGTTTGGGTTGAGACCGCAGTTTGTCACGTGTTTGTCCAGAAGAAGTTCTCAAACTTGTTTGATTGTACTTGTCTGAGTACATGTGAGCAGCATCGGGTGTATGAATTGCAACAAGTGATTACACAGTTTTATTGCACCTTCTGCCCTCTAATGGAAGAACATTTGATTGTTCTGCCTTTCATTTTACATCACCGGCATAGAAATATGAATAATGGTACATTTTGTAATTATTACCCCTTAACACAGAGAAATAGAGAACATAAGAAAACAAAATTTACCATCGAGTACCAATACTAAAAAAAAGGACTGGGTTTTCTGTTGCACAAGATTAAAATGTGTTAAACATATAATTTTTTTTTTTTAGGTAAGCATGGGAAAATGACATCGGTTTACCACATTTTAATCACGTGCAACCGATGTACAAGTAAATCCAAAGCACTATTATTTTCTGTGTACAAGAGCACTATATAAATATGGTCTAATTGATTAAAGTCAAAGTAAAATGGGGGAAAACACACACACACACACAAAGTAACTGCTCAGTCTCCTGATTAGTCATTAGAAAGAAAAAAAAAAGACATTGTCCTGACACTATTTTAGAAGTTTGGAGGCAAGCAAAGATTTTGAGCGATTGTGAAATGTCCAGTGAGGTCAGCTCCTGTCGCTTGACGAAACAAGAAGCACACATGCTGTAGTCTGCAAAATGCAGTTAGCCACAGAGAGGAGCAAAAACCCGATCCCGATACAATACGATTTCTCTCATTGGTTCTGTACTGGCAAACACATTTCAATTAGAAATCTAATGAGCAAAGTGGGCCTTAACTGCATTGCCTGACAATTAAAATGATGATTAATGGTGATGAATCAAATGAGCTGAAAGACTAATCAGCTCCGTGACGTTTGCGGAATACGTGTAAAGAACATCCTCAGCTCTCATATAGTATCTCGACACATAATCCTGATGTACTTAAAGGGGAAGTCAACCCCCAAATTTTGTTTATGAGAATATGTTCTACAGGGCCATCCTAGTATCAACACATCAACCGGATGAATATCA